TAAAAACCAAACCCTCCGGTGAGTTGGTGTTTGACATAAGGTCATTTATAAGGCATTTTTTAGACTTTTATAAAACAATTATAGATCCCTAAAACGATTTGTAAGACAATTAAAAGATCCCAAAAAACAATTTTTAAGACAACTGCAGATCCCCAAAACGATTTGTAAGAAAATTATAATAAATTTCTACAAGCATTTTAAAAATTGTTATAGTATAAAAAGGGCCACGTTACAACATGTTCAAATATTTATCGAGTTAATTATTGCGCTAAATTTAATGTATTACACCTACGCATACACACAATTAAAACAAAAGTAAACTCGATCGATTAGGTTGCTTCACTCGTTCCGTTAAAATTCATTCAAAATTATTTTCCCTATTTTAAAAATGCAAAAACAAACAGCAACTTTCAAAACAATTTAAAAACCGGAATCGAGCCAAACTCAAACTTGAATCTAACCCAAACTGCGAACCTAAATGATTTCAAAGACCAACTTTGTTCGTTAGTAGCCGCGAGCGATTCTAAATGATATCTCGACAAGGAATACACCGTCAGAAGGAATCGAAACTCTACCGCTTACAGAACAAGAAAACCTTTATCAACGTTACTCGGCTAAATTTGGCAAGAAAGTCGTATCTCCGGTGGGTGGAAGTCTGTTGAGTCTTTTTTCTCGTGTACTTGGGATTGCACGAACTTATGGGTCATGACGTTACCTTGGATTCTGAAGAAGCGTTCACAAAAGATTGCAAACGAGATCCATTATCATCAATTATTATCAAACGATCATGAATCAAACGATGAAACTGGAAACCACAGAGCAAGCATCGAGTAAAACGAGCAAAGCCGCGTGTGCGTTGATTTTGGGTTATTTTAATTTGGGTAATAATTCTGGGAAACAAAAAGAAAAGGGCGGCGTTTTGAAAACATTAATTTTAATTAATTAATGTTTAATTAATTTTAACACCTCGTCTAAATTAGGCTAGATGTTTCGGACGGGTATTAATTTTTTGTCGAGTAAATTATGTCGCAAACCAAATCAAAGCCAGAGAAATCGCAAGCACAACGATCGTTAGTGCCAATGTTTTACCTTGATGGGGTGTCTTGACCCTACGCAATGTTTGCCCTTGGGTAGATATCTTACTCGATATTTGCGATGTTTCACCATGGGTAGATACCTTACTCCGTGTTTTCCCATGGGTAGATAGATACCTTACCCTGAACCGAAGATAGATTTTGTTCTTGTTTTTGATCTGGTTCAAAATCGTCTGGGACGGTTTGTGACGTCTTGTCATTATTGATATCAGGATGATATCCAGGGTGCATGTCTTTGGTCGGAATCTAAAGGTTTTCATTGTAACCTTTAAACGTTCCGATTCTCAGATCCATATCCGATGGAACCAGATGCAAACCTGGCCTCACGACGAAATTGAAAGGAGTTTTGGCACATCGTAATGAATCTTGAAACTGATTGATTGTTCGAGATCTGGAACCGAATCAATCAATGAATTTACGATAGTCACAAACTGTCGTTGTGCGTCTAATCCGGTTCCTTGGCCAACACACTGGTTTTGGTCTGTGCTTGGGCACCCAATAAAGCATAGCCATAAGCTCGGATCGATTCATTCATCTTGATGATTCCGACGTCTGTGAGTTTGGTTCTTTTGGGGGAATAAAGTCCCACCAAGCAGTTTTAACGCTATCGTCTGGTTCGAGCCAAGTCACAGCAAGATCACTTGGGTGACCAGATCCTCTCGGCGGGGGCGCCCAACCAAATCCCATGGTTCTTTTACCCCAGTCTTCTCCGTACTCGTTAAAGACAGGTTCAGGATTATAATTATTTCCAGGCACGGGTAAATATCGTCCACTTTTAAATCTATTGTAATTGTAAGCAGTACCAAACCGTTTAGATAAGTATCCCTTGTTTGTTTAAAAATATTTTGTCGGGTTCACGCTACACGGCCGGCGGGTATCAGTAAACGCTTCGTGATCATAGTGGTTAACAGGTCAAATAAATCTTCATCCTGTGAAGGCACAGGGCAGTAAAACAAATTTTTTCGATAACAATAAAGCCAAAGTCTACCCCACACGCAATTGTTGCACAATAGACCGCAAAATTGATTTCATTTTGATAACACGACAAAAGGGTCACTTTTCGAATGATCGATACCTCCTTGGTTTGTCACCCGTGGAAGTTTTTAAGCCAAAGTGATATCAAGAAACTTGGCCCAAAACGATCTGTCTTTGTCCACAATAAACAAGTTACTAAACTTAACTCCCAAACTATTTTTTAAAACGCAAGAAAAAACTATTTTTCAATCAGAGTAATAAAAAGTATGGCAATCATCTCACACACGTTTCACTTTGCCAAAAATGAGCACACGTTTCAATTACAAAATTACATCGACAAGTTACAAGGCACAAAAAAGTTAGAGTTACAAAAGTCAGTTTTCACCCTGGATATTTTAACATTACAAGCTCTACCGAAATCGGTTGGCAAACTCATATAAATGGCAGACCGAGAAACCGACCGACCGAGCGAGCCAAGGAGTGAAGAGCGTGCGATACTCGACCTCGCCCCACCACCACCACCACCACCACCGACACTGCCACCGCCCGCCAAACCTGACAGACAAGATGTTGATATGAGTATTGCAGAATCACTTAAACTTACAGAATTAGAAAGGGACAATTTGATTTACTTTTATGACGTAATAAGCTATTATATTCGAGCTTACGAGGCGGGAAATCTAGAATTCAGTGCCACCATTACCCAAAGAATATTGACCTCAATAATAAAAAAGAAACGTTAAGAAACCAACGTTTCAATTTAAGAAAAAAAAACTGAAGCAACAGGAAGAGAGAAAGATACTGCATTACTTCATTTAACGCTTTTAACTCAAGAATGCGCCGATACTATTGAAAAAGCACGCCGTATCGCCCTGGAGTTTATAGGAGAGGGATTTTTAGCCGACAATACCGACGAAAGAACGAGAACAATAAGAAGGGCTCAATTCGAACCCAGAGATGCTCTTTTAGTTATGGGTTTTAATCATGTCATCAAGCAACGCACTCGAATGAAACGTCGGGAAACATTTTGCAACCAGGAGAGCGCGGTAGCGTCTTTATTCTTCCGGGTTTTAATCACGTTGATTGATTTGAATTTATTTTAAATGCAATTCCGGGCGTAAGTTTTAAAGTACACCGAGATTCAATTTAGTTTAAAAAAATGATCACAGATTTAAATCTCAGATTGAGATTGGGTAAAGAAGTCGGTGGGTTGTCAAACTTATCAAAAGGTCGGTTGGTTCCAAACGCTATTTACAAAGGGAAAATAAACGTAAACCCTTTTGACGAGTTTTGGATACACTGTCGAGATTAAACACCAGTTTTACTTATTTTAACGGTCAACCTTCAGACAATCTGTGTTCCGTCGTTAATCTGAGCGATAAACAAAACGATACTGTAAAACCGCTTAAAACCAAAAAAAAAAAGGTTTCCATTTTCCGTGGAGAAACGATAAGGGAGCAATTATTAATAACAAGGATGGTAATATTTCGATCGAGTTAGAAATTGTAGGGGCCCAATCGTAACGAGAATCTAAATTTTTTTTAGACACATAATTAAAAAGAAACGATTAATGCCTCCAATACATTAAGGCTTTATCCCGAGCTGCCAGAGCGTGAACCAAATGAACCAATTAATGAACCAAATAATGAAACAAAACTCACAGAGTCAAGAGAATATGGAGTCTAGGTATTGGGGTGCAACGTTGGCGGTCGATGGAACTGATGGAAGGTATCGCGATCGGTGCGTTTGGGGCATGCGGTGTTAAAATATGGCAGCCGTAGCTTAATTTACAAGTCTAAAAAATTATGACCAAATCCGGATGCTTTGTGACGCAAAGTTAAATACGATCGATGAGTACGTGTCGCACACTAATTAACGACGGTGACATTTCTCACGAAGAATTTGTTGTGATCGCCATTGAATTACGCAAGTTTAACGAGTTGAAAGAAAAACTGCGTCATAAAGCAGATACAAAACTGACTAAAACAAAAGAATCCCGAGCAGAAGTCGAAGAACGTGCTAAAACATTGGCGCGAGAGATGGTAGAAAAGGGCAAAAAGTCATGATAGAAGAGTAGGAGAAGATTTATAAAGAGAATGGTCATTCTACGTTTTGAAGAGGCCGAGTGGGTTTGTCGTTAGTTATGAAAAACAACCCGCGGGTTTTCCTCCAAAGTACAGTGAAGTTAGCCCTACGGCACCAAGCAAATAAAAAAAAAGTCGAGCCCGAGCGAGTCAGACCGACCAGTCAAAATGATGTCAAAACAATCAGTCAAAACAATCAGTGAACAATCAGAACGAGTGCGAGCAACTTCAAAAAATAATTCTTGATGGTGGTCGGGTCGACTTTTTGGGGGGGTTGTTTGATTTTTTGGGTTTGATTTTTTACCCTTGAGTAGATATCCAGGGGGAGAGTAGATCGGTGAAATTGGTAAATAATGTGGTTTTTAAAGTCGGATAGGTATGTGAGGGTGTTATTACCAGCACGCCCATAAAATATACTACTGGATGGTTGATGGGCGCGGGGGACTGAAGGGATGCCCTGCTGAGGGGGTCCAAAAGCATCATGCACCGTCCCTAATGAAAACTTAATTATAGATGGACGGCACAATCCTCATCTAGGATTTTTTTGCTTGGGGGGGGACACTCATTTTCCGTCATTTCACTAGTAGTTCCATTTAGTCCGTGGCTGAACCGGGGGGGGGACTGCAACCCCTAAACCCCCCTCTAGATCCGCCTCTGCTCCTTTGCAATTTTTATAACCCCAATTTACGCACCTAAAATGATTTCAAGGACACGCAAAATGAAATTTATACCCAGTGGAACATGTTAAACGACAGTTATAGAAATCAAAGCCTACATAGCTAGGCCTAGTTATTATCAAATCAATGGAAAAATTGTTTTAAATGCAAAGTCAAGTCTGTCAAATTAATAATACGTGAAAACAAGCACCACACTTGCTAAATTTGTGCAAACTGACGAAGTATGCACGACGTGCATACTTACCTCGTGTGGCATAATTCCCGCGTTTGTTCGGATCGTTTTACGTATAGAGGCAATCGACCTGTGTAGTAGAAGTACATCTACCACAGCACAATTCTTGTATTCTAGGGATAGCTAACCAAACGTAGCTTCAGTTTTTATCCCCGACAATTTATTCGATGACTTCTTAAACAAGCCGAGACGTTCCACAGAAAGATGAGTTAAATTTGAATTTAATCATTTTCTTACGAAAGACGTAAGACAGCCTCTCGCTGCCCACCCTGTAAATATTACAGTTTACGACCGTTTCAAAGCAGCAGTGCAGGACGTTTCAAAACTGTCAAGAAACAGTCCACCATTTTATTTGTATCTCCATTATGATTTAGTTTGGTCATACAATATCACAATGTCGACAAACACCCAATAATTACAAATAATATGACGTAGGGGTCACAAAAGGAGGAAGAGGGCGCTTGTCTCACCCCACCCCCGGAAAAAAATTTGTCACAAAAAGATAAGGGAATGAAAATATCAAATTTGCGTTGAAAAAATCGTCATAACTGACATCCAATGTCTATCGTTTATCAGTTCGCTGCTGATAAACACTTCCCCCAGAAAGTTCCCCTGCACGCAAGGAAACATTGAAATAATCATCAGCTGCAACAAAAACGAGAATCGGCAGCTCGATTTGCTGAAGAAACCAGGTACATGTTGATCGTGATGCAAATGTGGCGTGGTAAATTACTCGGTACTTAATTGATTGACTCTCATAAAAAATCCCAAGCTTATAGGATACTACCCAGTAGCGCCATACGCCGTACTGTCAGTGTAACAATACATTACACTGAGACTGCGGGAACACTAACACTAGTCTTAGTGGATGTAGTTTGGCACTTGCGTCTACTCGTTACTACAGAATTTCTGAGCATAAACGTTTCATTTGCCTTCGGCTAATTTTGTGCTGTGTCCCTGGTGGATGGTCCAATGGTGAGTGTGACAATCAGTAAGGGTGTGTTAAGTGGTTGTTAGGGTGAATGAACTTTTGCCCGAGTCAAATGTGGCATTCATATAAATCCTTTGATTCTCTGTAATACGCAATTGCTATGCTAACTTTAAGTTTCATCCAGTTCCTTTAATTGTTCCCATTCACAACTGCTTACGCAGTTCCTAATAACGTGTAACGTCACTGCAGTTTAAACCACGCCCACTGCACATTCCATGGATCAGGGAACCGGCAAATAACGAATTAACTAACAAATAACAAATAACGAACAAATAGCGCTTGTCCAATGGGAGCCTGAATCAGCGAGCATCCGCGTGTATGATGACGAAGTTACTTGCAAACCAGATATTTCTTACTCCTACATTTTCATAGACTTTTAATAGAACACTGGTGGTCGAATATAGCAGACCAGCCCCTCGTGATTGGACGGTGGAAGGAGGAACGATCCCCTAATTAAAGCGGACGTGTTGTCTAACTGCAGAACTAGTTTATTAAATATGAAAACGGTAGGTGTAGTGTAATGGCAAGACGGCACCGTAAAAAATAATACAATGGATGGGATGGTCAAAGGATATAGTAATGGCTAACACGACTTGCTGACCAATACAGTATGGCACGTTATAAAATCATGTTACGGAACACAGTCACCACGTTGAGCCCCGTAAATTTTAAAATTTCTGCGACCCAAGATCGTGCGAAATATTTATACAATGATCAGTACTTACTAGGAATTTCTAGCACTGACACTCTCCCACACTTAGGAGCATGGTTTAGGCCGTGCTCCCCGGCCTGCAAATTAACAAAGGCAAGATGCAGAAAGAACGGTTCTACATTCGAGACCCCAAAGCAAATAGACCACCTTGACACTGCGTGCACGGGAAGCGCCCAAAATGTATAAACTTTAAGTTAATTACCTGCGTCACATGTATTGGAAGGCAGGGGGCGCCCTTACTCTGGCACGGAATAATTATCAGGAACTTCAATGGGCTCTTTCATACAAAACGTGAAATAGCATTGCACATTTCCTATGTCCATTATTACTCTGATTGTTTTCCTGTTGACAGTATGCTCATTGGTGACATGAGCGATGCCATTGCTGTCTTGTGCTTAGCTGATGGAGACAAACAAATGAGCGAAGCCTTCCTTTCACTAAACACTGTATCTGACACCACAGCATGCAAGCAAGCTCTCTGACTGAGCAAAATGACCATAAACTTCTGCTGAACACCGAAAGCCCTTCGGTGACAGTGGTAGAAGGTCTTGAAAACTATTCACACAAAAAATTAAAGCAAAATATTTTCATTGACCATCATGCCTTTTACATTTAAATGTGAGCTTCTTTACTCTTGCCACATCACAAAAGACTCCTACGGATAAAATTATAACTCATAATGTGCGTAAATCTTATATTACACACTTCATGGGAAAGATAAATTGCCAACTGCATAAAGTGATCTACATTTTACGTAATGAAACTCTCAAACCAATGCTCCAATAATTAAAAGATGGAAAGTGTAGCCTGATGCTTGGCCTTCGACCGTCGACTTTCTTCGCAAACAGTACCCTGGACAAATGAAGAGGAAAAAACCAGCACACACAATAAGCATCTCCTGAAACAAATTTTGAGATTTTATAAAAGCGAGTATCAAAATCTGAGACTCCTGGGCACAATAAGCCAGTTCGGTATTTCAAAAAGCCAAAGTCTTTTGAGAACAAAGCCCATGCGTGAGTTGGCGTAGGGCTGTGCTTATTGGACAGACTATCACCCGCACACATAGTTGTTCCCGAATAACCTCGTGTTCGGCATGCACTGTTGGAATACCGAATCCGCTCATTTCCAAAACATCCCTCGTTACATACTATCCATCACTGAGAAACTGGAACAATATCCTTTGAAGAAACATCAAATATATACTTCTCGTAACATAACCTATACGATGTTGTACCTCAGCAAGAATCATTGAACAAATTGCAAGAATGTGGAAACACTAAAAATGCAAAACATTGGAAAAACTACCAATAGGATTGGATATTTGCATTATCTTTGGTGGTCATCTGAAGTTTATCCGCTTGGTAATAACAGGCTTCCGGCATTAAGTCCATGAGGAGTCGATGGGAAAGAAATGGAAGCAAATTTATCTTCATGTCACCAACAGAATTAATTTGTCATAGAATTAAACTCTACTGTCCTTTTTAGGGATAAGAAAGGTTTCACTCTAAATGCTATCTATGAATAAGTTTTTGGCACACATACTTTTGTTTAGTCTTCAAGTAATTCTGTGGTACGTAGTTAATTAATCCTGATCGGTCCAGTAGTCACTTTATCCTTCTGAGTGTACAAATTTATCTCCAACGGCGATGGCATCAACTGACGTCTCCGAAGTTTGCCCAGTTATTAAAATGCTTCCTTAATCCAGTGCCTAGGTATCAAAAGACAAAACTCAAGAGGGAAGGCAGAAATCAAAATCAGGTCAAATCCTTGTAAAATAAAATTAAATGGCGATAATCAAAACAAACAAGAACAAAATGCAAGGACATCTTCAAGAAAAAAGTTATAAAATGCCACCCACAAGAATTCAAAACCACTGCCATTAAAACACAATTTAAAGGTTGTTGAATAAAATTGATTCAACTTCAAAGAGACAACATTTTACTTTAATTTAAAAACAAACCAGTCAGAGCACTGTGTCCGGTCATATTTACTTTACTCCTGGGTTACTGTACAGAAAGTAAAAGAGAAAAACATAAGTACATGTCCAAAACTGCACAAACGACACACACAATCACAAACACTGCTCGCGCAGTAGAAAAAGATATAATATGAAAAAGCAGCAGTGGTGGACACGGGCTACAGAAAATAGTGTCGAGTATTACCAGAGAAAAAGGCATGCACCATAAGAGACAATAAAGAGAATATTCAGAGAGAGCAGGACTTTTTCCTAAACTAGAACTCACTTAACTTTACTTGCTGTTTGAGTTTTGATCAGTCATCAACAGTCTGCTTCCTCCGTCGTCTGAATTGTACATCTGCCCATCGGATGTATAACTTAAAAGTGCAAACAGTTTCGATCATATTTTGATTAAACAACATTAAGCGGACGTTTCATATCAATGTACCACTAGTCTTGTGAAAGCAAACTAACCAGTGTCTTCAGCTGGATTCCGCCATCTAGTCAAAGGCTCCATACATCCATTTTCTAGACATCAAAATACAGAAACTAAAGAAAAATGAACAAAGTGTGTGTTAGTTCAACATAAAAAGAATCCAACTGAACCCAAGGTGTGAAATTTTGAAAAACACCACAAAAAGGTCGACAACAATGGTAACAAGCAACGGTAAGCGACAGTAAGATGACTATAAAAAGACAGTTTCCGGTGTATTTCCATGGTGCCTAAATAAAAAGTTTACTGAGATAAAATTACATCAAAATGTTAAATGTACTTTGACAGAAATGGTAGCCATGTGAAGGGCACAGCACATTAAACTTATGAGGTAAGTAGCAAAAACAAAGCAGATTAGATTGATTTAGGTACATTCCTTGTTTTCAAGAATGTGTTCTTAATGATAAAAGGCATTTGGCATTCGGAACACTTGCATGGTTGAGCCTTGTGTATCAAATATGCAAACTTGTCATAGTGCCAATTTCAGTACCCTTAACATTGGTCTAGTTTATTCACTCATCTGTGTCAAAAACATCACAAGCTGTATACCACTGCAAAGAAGACATTTTGTCCTTTCTAGAGAATATATTTCCCTTTCCCATATATAAATTACTTTGCCATTCCAGTAAGTTTTATCTCGGTATACTTTTTACACGGACACCCTGTATAATATAGTAATATAGATACTAAATTGATAATAGTATGAGGGAGGTCAGACAAAAAGCAAAAGCTTGGACTGGGTTTGCCTCTTGAAGGAGAAAACATGTAATTTACACATCTGTTAGGGTAAAACATTAATACCACAGACGGTAAAATAATCAAAAGGTTTTCAAAGAAAATAAGGATAAAATAAGGATAAGGACAGAAACGATAAGGAAGGAAAACTAGTGATGCAAAAGATGTACACAATGAATAAATAAACAAACGAAAACCCTCAAAACCCAAGCAAATACAAAACAGTGGACATCACAAAAAAACCAAACACAAAGCAAAACAAATGTGACAACAGAGAAAAGATGACTAAAGTTGAGCTAATTTATCGGGTTTCTATGCTTGCTGTTTCCTTCGTCAAAAGTTAGCATCATACAGTCCTGAACATTAAAGAGATAAAAACTTAAGAAAAAACATGTTACCTCGAAAGTACATAAAGACACATACAAGAAACTAAACACTATCAGTGGGATTACAAATGAGCTCAAAAAACATCAATTTCAAATGTGTCACAAAAAGAAACAAGCCTATGAATAGTTATTAAAGGGAAAACAAGGAGTCAAGAAGAATGTAGATTTTCCGTTCAAATTTATCAGAACTACATTTAAATTTGTTTGTAGAAGTACGTGTTCAGCATCCAAAATATAATTTCCCCATTCAATGAGCAACTATTAATCATTGTTCAGTTCAACACCCCGTGAATCTTATACAATAGAATCTTCCTTTCCTTTCTGTTCATGCGCTGTCAATTTAGTACTTTCAGTATGCACATTCATAATCACAAAATGGTTATGATGGTAAAAACATTTTAAAAGCCGTGAAAACAGGAAAAGGAAACATCCCATTGCTTATCGTTGTTAAATGTTGTGTATTTAAATAATTTTAGCAGGAAATGTTTCAGAACTGACATTTACGATTTTTTTTGGGGGGGGGAATTTGAAAACAACACCCAAAGTGATTTTCAAGAGTTCGAATTGAGTACACTCTCTGCTGAAGTAACCGTGGTCCAAATTAGATTTCAGACGTTCAAGTTTATTTCATGATGGAATAATTAGTTGAAGTTACGAAATTCGGTTCTTCAAAATTCGAAATCACATGGAAATAAACCTTCAGAAGTATTTCTCCTTTTCGAATGTTCTGTTCCTTGTTTTGTTCATTTTACTTTAGTTTTATCTGTCGTAATAGCAGATGTTTTTGATTCGTTAATTGAAAGAACAGATGCAAATATTTTACACTTCTTTCTGTTTAAAAGTAGGTTTTCTTGAAAGTTCTGACATTTGAATTCTCTCGCCCGATTTAGTCTGGTTTGGAATACGTGGTCCAACTCTGGCCAAGTTTTTCCGTCTTTTCGATACCATGTTGTAATTAATCTGGTAACTGATCAGTTTATATGAAGTGCAATTTCAAGAGACCCTTGGACATTGCCTTTGAAGCTAAGTTTGATCTGTATGGTCTATGCTGCCATGTTGATCTGTAATGATTGAATGTATAGCAATCAATTATAAGGTAACAACGGCAATGAAAGCTAACTTGTAAATTGAAAAGATTTTAGCTTTTGATTTTATTCTAAAGAGCAAATAAATAAGGGTCAGATTTCTTTGCTTTAATTTTCAAAGATATTTGTTAATTGCGGCAGATTTGAACGGCCAAGCTTACGCAGCTGAAAGCTGAATATTTATGTCCAGATGCACACCTATTTACTTTAACTCTAGGTCTGAATACTGCGATCGGTCACTTACATCTGAATTATGAAAACTGTTTTATATCCTTTGTGGATTCAGTGATTTGAAAAGTGAATCTTTTGTCTTGAACGTTGATCATTTAATCGTTCAATTGTTTCTAGACATCTGAGGGTGCCATTTCTGTGACACCAACCAGGGAGGAGTTTGTCATATGGTGACCCCATTTGCGAATGACAATAAAAGTGCACTGAAACTGCACTGCAATAGTTTACCATGAAATAAGATTCCACAGAATTTGATTTAAATTGAATATTGCTGGTACCCTATGTAGCGTACAGACTAGGCTTCCATGTGCATCAACTAATCCTACATGTATGAAGGTGACCTACAATAATCTAAACGTACCTGGATCTACTTAAGTTTTGAATAAAATTTATAATTCTGAAGAAGTATTGAAAACCAAGACATCAAGACACCCAGAAATCAAGACATCAGGAAATCAAGACGTCAGGACATCAGGACATTACAACATCGGGACATCAAGACGCCAAGACATCAGGAGATCGTGACATCAAGACATCAGGATATCAGGACATCAAGACACCAGGACATCAGGACATCAGGAAATCAAGGGAAAAAGTCAGAGGAAGGATGCAACTTGGATGGAAGAACTCCAACCAGTCCTATCCAACCAACCTCGTCACCCAATTTCCCAAGACATCGGGATATCAAAACATCGAGACATCAGGACATCGAGACATCAAGACACCAAGACATCAGGACATCAAGAAATCAGGACGTCAGGACATCAGGACATTAAAACATCAGGACACCAAGACATCAGGACATCAAGACATAAAGACATCAAGACACCAAGACATCGAGACATCAAGAAATCAAGATGTCAGGACATCAGGACATTACAACATCGGGACATCAAGACATCCAGACACCATGACATCAGGAGATCGTGACATCAACACATCAGGATATCAGGACATCAAGACACCAGGACATCAGGAAATCAAGGGAAAAAGTCAGAGGAAGGATGCGACTTAGATGGAAGAACTCCAACCAGTCCTATCCAACCAACCTCGTCACCCAATTTCCCAAGACATCGGGATATCGAAACATCAAGACATCGAGACATCAAGACACCAAGACATCAAGACACCAAGACATCAGGACGTCAAGACATCAGGACATCAGGACATTAAAACATCAGGACATCAGGACATCAAGACATTGAGATATCAAGACACCAAGACATCAGGACATCAATAAATCAAGACGTCAAGACATCAGGACATTAGAATATCAAGATATCAATGGTGACCCAATTTGTGAATGACAATAAAAGTGCACTGAAACTGCACTGCAATAGTTTACCATGAAATAAGATTCCACAGAATTTGATTTAAATTGAATATTGCAGGTACCCTATGTAGCGTACAGTCTAGGCTTCCATGTGCATCAACTAATCCTACATGTATGAAGGTGACCTACAATAATCTAAACGTACCTGGATCTACTTAAGTTTTGAATAAAATTTATAATTCTGAAGAAGAAAAGTATTGAAAACCAAGACATCAGAACATCAGGACATCAAGACATCAGGACATCAAAACATCAGGACATCAAAAGATGAGAATAAAAGGATATCAGGACATCACACCAAGAAATCAGGACACCAAGACATCATGAGACCAAGACATCAGGACATCAAGACATCAGGATATTACGTCATTAAGACATCAGGACATAAAGACACCAAGACATCAAGACGTCAAGACATCAAGACAACAAGACATCCAGACATCAAGAAATCAAGATATCAAGACACCAGGACATGAGGACATCAAGGGAAAGATGTGACTTGGATGGAAGAACTTCAACCAGTCCTATCCAACCAATCTCGTCACCTAATTTCCTAAGACATCAGGATATCGAGACACCAAGACATCAGGACATCGAGCATCAGTACATTAGAACACCAGGACATCAAGACACCAAGACATCAGGAGATCAAAACATCAACACATCAGGACATCTACATGTAGCCACCAAAAAATCAAGATATCAGGACATCAAGATCCTTGGACATCCAGACAAAAAATGAAGACGTTAGAAAAACTGAGGATGCAAGAATCATCAAAAAGAAACAGGCCCAGTATAACTTTGGAAACACACGCCAGTGATTTTTTTCTCACCAGCACTTCAGTGTAACGTTTGGTTACTGTAAAAGATGTTGACCTTACTCTGAAGCTTTAAGGTAAATTACACAGAATCTTGTTGAAAATGATTTGTCATGATTAGGGTTAACAAAATAAAATAAAAAACTTGATCAACTGTGACACTGAACATCCATTCTTGTGCTCGTTCAACATTCAGTTCTAAAACTTTTAGTAAAGAATTTTTCAACGCCATATGATTTGCTGAAGACCAAACACCGAAACGCCATAAAAACTGTACCAAAATACTTCTGAATTAACCTTACACTTTGTTTGCAATTTGGTTCCTTTCATGTCATTAATCTATAAGGAAATCAAAATAACAATAATGAAATCAGGAAAGATTAAATTTAATAATGACCATGTAAGAGTAGGAATGATGCAACAGAGTTTGCATTATTTATCTATTTCATTTCTGTTCATCTCGCCTTCATTCTTATTTCTTTTGAATGTCATTATAAAGAATATGAAAACTAAGATTCAAAAGATTTAACGTTTCCAAACAAAATTAACTAAAATATCTACGACCAAACGACTTGTAAATGGGTAAGTAAATTTACATCCTTACATGTTCCCTTTTAGGATTAAAATTATTAAAAAGTGTGAAAAAAAGGATTTCATTGAACGACACTTAAAACATTGACAACATAAGCCTCAAAGTTTCGAATGATGCCCTAAAACTGAATTTGAATGCGTAAAATTGAATCAGCCTCGGACATCAGTATGCTTTAGCCACGCGAAATGCATTTTTTTAATCATGTATTTTACTTGTAAAATGAATATTAAGTTACCACTTCAATTACGTTCAACAAAATACCATCAAGTAGTGCCCAAATGATCAATCCTTGTGTATTAGCACAAGATTGCTGGCGCAGTTCAATTCTGTAGGAGCTGTAAACCATGACTTTTCATGGTTGGATGGGCCTGGTGGAACTGTCAAGTTTTGACATTCATTTTCCTGTTATTGCGTACAATTACATTAAGTAAATAATTTCATGTTAGGAAATAGTGAGCAAAATGTTGCCAGCCAGAGTGTGATGTTATCAACAAAACAAATTCGTATATTCGGGCATGATTCGGGTGAGTGCGCATCCAATGTGGTCGACCAATTTATGAAATTCAGCCACATTTTCTTCAGCAGGAAATAAAAAGTAATGCACAAACTATCTGAACAGAAGTGTCTTCTCCTTCCCCCTTACTTAACTGTACAACCATAGGAACGGAAGGCAATTATTCACCAGCCTGCGAAATTTTAGCACTACTTACATGAACACCACACCATTTAGTTTCCATTTCTTGTGACAATATCGGCGACACCTCTGACGCCCAACCTGTCTTGTGACTGTGCCCCCACTTTACTGGTAAGCTGGCGTAGCGGTCCGTGCCACAATAGACTCATGTACACAAGCACCTGTTTGCTACCGCATCACCGCGCAGTTGGCATTCTGGATGAGACATAGTCTTGGTTTCAGGACTTTCCTCTTTAGTCTGCGGCAAGAGCCATCACCAGACAAATGGCTTTCACTGGAAGTACGCCTAGAAAAAGGCGCTGCCACGGTGAGTCGCATTATTATACCCTACACACCGCATGCAAAACAAATTGCAGCACCGCGGCGTCTTCGACTCCAGACAACAGATTTGGCACTGTGATTGTCTTTGAGAGCGCATTGCCATGCTTCTTACACGAAAACAATGTAGCAGGCTGGTGCCAGGCAAACTGGTCAAGCAAATTTGAGTTCAGCCCTGTGTCTAGAGCTCGGTCAACGTTTTATCATTTGAAGCAAGATATGGGACCGAGAGAACCCCCACCCGCCTTTGTGTTGGTCATTGTTTGATCGGAATCTCAGGAATTCTTTACAGACTTCTAGGGGGGATATGTTAGGTAACAATAGTCTACAGTGTGTATAGGAACATGTTTTTTGTAGAAACCAGAAGCCTTTTCTTAAAATCGAACTCTTTTTTAGATCTCATGTTATATAAAACACAGCGTTTAAAAAAAATCAAATGAATTTCCCCAAACCGAATAAACATGTACGAACGCAACGTATTTTCCAGTTTCGAATATATTTTAGCTGGCTTATGTTTCAAAATTTTTAAAGAAATGTTACAGACCTAACATGTTTTAATTAAAATGCAAATGAAATTTCCCTATGTGCATTTTCATCTAAATTTGCATTTCATGCGAATTTAGAAAAGATCCGAAGTTTACAAGGAGGCATCCGATCATTTGACCCTGTTCGGCCCGATGAAACCGCAAAGTCTGAGCCGTTTCGTACTGTTAGGCATGTGCATTTTATACTGCAGCCTGGTCTCCGCTACTCAAGGAGCCAGTGCCAGGTGTCATAAAGGGTGAAGTAAAAAGCCAAGCACTCCGTGCATGACGTCACTATGTAAAACTTTCGCATGCATAGAAAACCCATTTACAGCTCGGGCAAGACGGACGCACGTCTTTTTACTACCATATTAAAGCATGTGAAAGAACTCTTGTCGGTAAGCTGCCACAAAAGTGTAGTAGAGAGCGAGTTGGACCATAGATCTTACGGTCCTGACTTTGATTCTCTTACACTCTGCTTTTTCTATCACTGTTTTTCTTCACCAAATACTTTTTAAATTGAAGGAAAAACGGTGCAGAGTGAGTCCGAGACCCAAGAACCTTATAAGAGTCTGTAAAAAAACACAGTTGTAGTCGGGTATTCGTACATGGGCACTAGATTGGAGCCTGAGGCAGGTGGTGACGTCATGCACAGAGTTCCTAGCTTAAAGAGTTACAGAAATAGATATCATTTAGTTCACGTGAAGTATTTCAAAATACGTAACTGTTTCAAAAATAATCATAAATTTAATGTTTACCCCATTAATTGAGACCGCAAAATGAATAAAAGGTTCCTCCGTTTTCTCGCCCACAAAAAATCCCCTTTTGGCCGTTCGCGCCCCTAGGCTGATTGGATGACGTCATCGCCAGAATGATGCGTGTAAAAGCGCACAGTACATGCGGTATCGTACGACCACGTTGTGTTTGATGCAGCTTGGCCTACAGGCAAACACTGTCTCGGTTCAAGGTAGAATTAAAAGACACAATCCTACAGCCTTCTTGAACTCAAACAGTGTTTGCCCTGTTGGCCAGGCTACCTGGACATCAAACACAACGTGGTCTATTGCAAGCGTGCGATACTGCATGTACTGTGCGCTATGTAGATGTGCACAGTATTTGTATGACTATGAGTATTTTAAAAATATTTCTGAAGTGTGAGGATTTATCACTGCTTTCTATGGGAATTTATTTATTGAGCTGCCACTCCGTGGATCAACAGAATGATGACGTCCATATTGTTTTGGCTGCTCTCTGTAGCTGTCTCTTTTAACTATAAACTGCAAATGGGCATGATTGATATGAAAAAGATATTAAAACAAAATATTTTACACTCTGTACCTCTGAATTTGAGGGGTTTTTTTTATTGAAAACACCACATTGGAATAAGCATGTACAGGTGGCTGTAAATGTTAGAAAATTACAGTCATTTACTTTAGTCACTGCTTTTGGGGTATATTCTTTTACAATATATTGGAATTGTATACAAAAAAGCATGGTTTTCCCACTTTCATTTAAAAATTAGTGGTGAAAATTGCTTGTAAAGGGTGACTTACTTTTGACAGTAAAGAAGCTTTGTGGGGGGGGGCATATGCCCCGGGTAAAAATTTAAAAACACGGCGCAAAATGGCGGAACTCGGTTTGTGGTGCGAAAGAGTCGAGCGGGTTATCGCCCAGATGACTACACTGGAGCTGTTGAAAGGATGCCTTATTTAGCATGAGTGTGTTGGGAGAGTTGGAGAGCAGGAGAGGATGACATATGGAATGATTTCCGTAAATTTGCTTAGTTCGAACAAATGCAATCTGATTTCTGTGCACAGCGCGGCTTACATGGTACACATTGGGAATTCAAGTTTGCCACGGGAGTGCAATGTAAGTCACCTGTGCCATGAATCACTGTGCATTTGCTTCGAGCATCTGTCCATGGAAACAAGAGCATGCTCGACAAGTGTGCAAAGGTCGGCGAGTGCTTAGGGCACGATTAGCTGGACTGCATCAAGGTACCATAGCTACGCTGTTGACATTCAAAACATAAGTTACTGTTCCAATACCTTGCTGCTTTGGAAAACGTTTACAGTAATTATGTTCGTTTTGGATGAGGAGACAGTCAATGTTTGTGTCACATTTCAAATTATCATTGGCCACGTTTGTACAGTGGCTATTGGGCTCTACATTTTTGCACGTTTAGCATAATACTTCTTTTTCTTGTCCATTTCAGCGAGGGCTTTGGCAGCTGGGGAGCCAGAAGTAATTAGGCAAGCTGCAGCTTCATACATTTTGACTGCTGAATTGGCGTGTCTATTACTCACCATGTGCACTGCGATCTCTCTATAAGATCAGTTTCTTAGGAAGGTTAGTGTTCCCTTTTGGATGGTTACTACAAAGGCATGATTCATTTATTCAGTTTTCTGGGTACTGGTACCATATTTAGTTTGGTCCAGGGTTTCTTGACATAGTCTCTTAGTCTGTTCATCACAAGTTGACAATTTCAGTTTGCCACAGGCATCGACTGGCAGGTAGAAAATTTATATTTACCAGCCCTACAAATTGGTATTCACTTTTTGCAAAGGTTACGATTTCCCATGTAACATTGAGCAATTACGCTTACTGCATTTGCAGACATGGCGTTCATTTTGGAAGAGTTCCCACTACAGTGGTTTCAATATGGCAGTAGCCTCGGCCTGCGCCATGTGGCTGACATCATCGGCAAATCAATCCTGGAGCTTTGTCTTTTCCTTTTTATTTTGCCCTGGAGACATTTTTGGACCAAGTTTTACACGACTTAGGGCTGCACAAAGCGATTTTTTAAATGAGGGGTCAAATGAGTGCTCGGTTTCCATACCTGCAGTTTTACTTTGCATATGGAAGATTACACCTTTTGCCTGACAACCGTCGACTTCGGTTGTTACCTTATTTACAAACAGAGGTTCTTTACAGTTCAAAAGTTTTGGGGCACATTGAATGTCGCCTTCACGTTATCTCTCATGTTGTGTTCGCTGAGTGAGTGGCTGTGTATTTCCCGATGTGCTTCTGATCCTGTTCTCTGACACTGTCACATTTCTTGCATAGTTTGTTCTCTTGGTGATGCATGATAAAATAATGCTAGCCGTGCCATTTCACAGAATATCTCTTCTGTGTTATTCGGATGAAGAGTATTTTCTTGCGACAGTTTCAAAGAGAATTGCCATATTGTCTGTCAGTCTCCACTGCAACTGGACTTTTAAATGTAGATTTTTCTCCTGTTGCACATGTCTCTTTCGTTTTATGCGGTGATAATTTCACGGCATTTGATTGAAGTGTTGCGGGGCCCGCGTCGAAGGAACAGTCGTGTCCATTCCTAGCAAGAGCCTCGTTGCACCAGCTGTGGACATATTCGGTTGTTGTGCAAGCCAACCGAGATCACCACGTTTGGAGTGGTGTCCTGTCGTCCTCTACCCCTCTGTGGAATCTCAGTGTATAGTTTTCTCTTGTCACTGCAGAACCTACACTTCTGGCAGGATATCATCTCGGACACAGCCAAACTTCAACGCTTTTCAGCATCTGGCATCAGTGTGGGCCGGCCATCACAATCTGGATGAGTGGTGATCCAGGACAGCCTGCACACCCAAGTCGACTGTCGACGAACTAGTATGTCGCTCTGGTTCTTCCTTTGGCCTGATCAGCAGGACTCCACCTTGACGTCGGCACTCGTCTTGTGTCCTTGTTTGTCCAAGAGGAGTCGTCTCACCGGCTTTGGGACGGAGTAGCATTGGCACTGCATTAGGCGTGGTGCAGAAGAACGCCTGTTGATCTCTGGCAACAGCAAGTCCATCTGCTCCTGTGTTGGCCTTACGTAGACTGTCAACGAGTCCATGCAGCTGCAATCGACTGTGTTCTGTATTATAAAATACGCCCTAAATAACATTAGATGGAAACACCGGTCCGATTTCAAGAAAGGCATTTTGTTTCTACACAAACATGTTCAAATCTTATAAACATAACAATGTGAATCTCCAGACTTAAAGCCACTGTTACCATACCTCTGACTTTGCGCAAGCTTTTGCATAGCGACCACTGTCCCAGGAATCGACTGGTTCCTTTGTGCCCTTTTAAACCACTCTTACCGTCACCCTATTCAGAAAAGTGTCTATTGTGCATAAAAAGACAGTACAATTAACTGGACTTTTTAAAAACAATGTACAATTTACTGTACCTCTGAAAAACTGATAGATCAAAATTGACTTGAAAGACACAGAAAAAGCAACTGTAATATTGAATTTTTATAACGTCAAAGGATTAGAGAAAAGCTAAAGTCACAGTTAAGTTCACCACGCTCGACATTCTACGGGTTATAGTCTCTCTGAACTTTCAGATTTGACACACTAATATTTTCTGTAGTGATACATTTAAAGTGAAACACTCTTTTCATTGCACTTTTTTAGTGTGTCTCGGTCTTTCTTTTCACATACTCCTTCCTTTTTTTATTTCCCATCATTTTTATCATATTTTACCAATGTATATTTTTATGTTTATTGTAACCTTTAATTTTTATTTGTTTTGTGGTTTTTCTTATTAAATTTGCATTTTAACCAGATTACTTTCAGTTTAATCTCAGTTTTAAGTCTTCCTCTGTCATTAAAACTTACGTATGATATTTCTCAGAAGATATTCCGAATGCACGTATTTTCTAAACGACATAGTAGAGTGACCGAGAGATTTGGATTAGTAAGTATGTTATTCCAAAGTTGTAAACGTGGTCTTCATTTGAAGAGACAGTTAACTGTGGTTCCAATTAACTGCTCGACAAACTTGCTTGTTGGTGGTGTAAAAGTCCCCAACTCCGTAGACAGTCGTATCGATAGCACTGGATGTGAAGTTATCTCATTTCCGCAGCTAACATGTACCATGAGAAATAAACGATTTTTTCTCTATATGCTCATACATATGCCGATAAATCCATTTGGACTTGTGAGGAAATGAAGACAGTATGTGCGCCCAACGATCCCTGATGGTGCCGATTGCATGTCTCTGTGTGTGACTTCATAAGCATCGGTGTCATTAGAATGAAGAATTGAAATTATGTTCACTTGAATCTAAAGAACTTAGTGTAGTAGATTCCCTGACGACTCTTGATGAAATCTTAGGTCAGGTATTGTCCACTGATATAAATAGGTCATGACACAACATGTCAAGGGTCACAAGGGAAGCCCTTGGTGGATCCTATGTTCAGATGTCGCTTTGAAAACATGCGAGAAACTCCAAAAATGCTTAGGAAGGGAGCAACGTTGTCGTGCATTTGGGCAACAAGCAAGAGAAATAATATATCTGCCGGGAGAGGTTGGGAAAAGGAAGAAATTATTGAGGGGACATATCTAATCTGGCATATTGAGTTTGTTCACCCCGGCCCAGTGGCGTAGCTAGGATTTTACCAGGGGCACAAAGGGGGCACTAGCATCTTAATTATGGGGGGCACCAGCTTGTTTTTTGGGGAATAGTTTTTGTTAGACTTTTTCAATATCCATTCATTCTGCGGGGGACCGGGAATTTGTGAGGGTGATGTGCACCCCCCCCCCCGGCTACGCTAACCCCTTGCCCAAGATCAATCTCATTATGCGTACAGACAGGGTCAGACATACCGAAACTTCAACAATGCTATCCAAATGTTCGGAATATTTCTGCTATTTTCAGTGACTGGAGGATTAGCGTTTTGCGACTTAAAGTTGAATAAAATCTGGTACATTGAGTTCTGTAAATTCACCTCACCGTAACAATTTGAATTCTCCATTCTATAAGAATTCTCTAAGGAAGCTGTTGCCATTCGGACAAGCTTTTTCTCGTGCACCAATACACTGTTTTCAATGGATAAGAAGGGTACAAAGGAATTAGTCCATTCCAGAGATGGTGGTCGCTATGCAAAAAGCTTGCCCCGAATCACGAGGTATAGCAACATTGCCTTCAGTCTGGGAGATTCAAATTGTTATGTTTATGCGCAATCAAATTAATTAGTATGCAAGATTTTATTCTAATTTAACTCGCAAAGGCCTATTCCTCCGGTTTTGGTCCCGTGGACATTGGGTGATAGCAGACAGGTATAAACCAACAACGTATCAAAAGACTACCAGTCTGAGGAAGGTGAAGGTTGCAGATCAAAGCCGAATTCAGTGCGTGTATTTAGATCACGTTTTAATGAGCAACAACTTTGCTGCTTAAACTAATACAAGAAGCTTGGCTAGAAATTAAGAATGATTCTATATAGGGGTTGATATGATATCCCAATAATGTTTATGGTTAAACTGTTAGTATCCCAAACAATTGGTGCTTTGAACGGAATCAGATCATATGGAAATGAAGGAAGGCCATAAAGTTCAGGTTTGTTTCTCGCCACAAGGAGTTACTTCTGATAATCCAATGGCTTATCAGTATTTACTTAAGTGTGACGCCACTGTGAGCTAGAAAGTGCAGTGCAAACGAATGGAGTACTCGCGCGGATTCGTAATTCGTTCACGCACTAGTTCTAGCACTAATGCCTTTTACGCATTGTGCGTGCGAAGTATTCACTTTAGTGATCGTCGATTTTATTATTATTTTTAATTTATTCAGGCAGATTTAAAATATACAACACGCAATATGCAAGCAATAAAAATTATATCCAAAATAAAACAAAGGATCGATACAGATTGAAAAAGGAGGCACACATGTAAACAGTCAATCAATATAAAAGACGAAAAATGATCAAGCAAGAGACCGACAAGACAAACATACATAAAAAATGAGGACAGCGCAGGACTGCCTTGGAAAAAACAAGATTGAAAAATATCTCTTTCGCCAAAAGGGCGTGCCACTCCGACCCTGCACAGCAATCAGACAGACACACAAATGTAAAACGGTCATAACTATCATTCTATTTCGACTGATAACCTTAATTCACCCAAAAGTGTAACCTAGCGTAACGACGGTTTTCGAATGTTGAAATAGTGTGTTCAAAAACAGCACGTTCATTTCCACAATTTTATTCTATTTGGAAAAAATTAGCAAGACTTACATTACCTGTTTGGAGTGAATGCGGATTTGAATGGATATTGCCGCGCACCTACGTGTACTGTGTTTCGCTCGAGTATAATCACCTCATCGCCTTTTGCTGCTCTCATTATGAAGCTATGAAGCCTAAAGGTCGTCACATGAAACTGTTTTAAATTCCAGGGTTTGGGTTCTTTGCCGCCATTTTGCTTACTGTTCTTCACTGAATTACACATTTGATTGCTTGATTTCTCGCTTTCTCTTTTGCCTGCTCCGCTTATCAGCCGCAATTGATTGTAGACAATATTTGCACTAGTTATGCCTCCACTCATTTTATGTTACACAGTATGTACTTTTTTGTGGTGTGATACTGCGGGAAGAGCAGGGTGGTATTTCGCGCAAACGGTGAAACTTACTGATAGCTAGGTAATGTACAATCACATCAGCATGACGTCAAGTATTTCACATTGTTTATTTCATGAATTCACCCCATTTTGCTGGTCGAAATTACTCCAAGCATTCAGACGAATATTTTTATATATCCAATTTAATGTTTTTGTCAGGACTCAAGCATGATCAGAATGGAATCTGAGGATATGAATATTCAGAATAAACTTTGTTGTACATGGAATGGAGCCTGAAAGTAAAAGGTCACGCAGCGAGCTTCCGGAACCTTTGCGCGGTCTGCCTATGGGGATTTTACATTGAGTCGTCCTATCACGTTCGATAGTTTGTGGAAAAATTGTTCCTTACTGAAACCACCCAAAAAAACACTCATGTTGGAATTTTACCTTTGTCTTCCTCAAGTGATGTTTTGGAAAAGTCACCTGGAGATGGGTAAAAAAACTAATTTTATTAACGACCTTTCACGTCCACCGATATCGTACCTAAGTCACCTTGTTCATGCACCTTTGTTTTCACTAGCCGTGCTTTCTTGAAAACGAGATTGCAAAGATTTACCTACCTGCACTCAATGGGTTCCAGATTCCGTTGAGTTGACATACTAAATTTACACTCGCTAAACTTGCGCAAGTCTAATTTTGATCCCGAAATGCATACTGCCCTCATGCGGCATGATGCTCGTCTTTGTTCGGATCCTTTGATGTAGAGGCGATCGACCTGTGGCGCATGAGAAGTAAGAATAATTTCACTAACATCGATTTTCTACATCACACATGTCACGCAATTGGGCCTACACAGAAATCAAAACCAAGGGCAGAATTCCAGTAAATGAATCATGCAGGTAGGTGTGACGTTAAGTACGGGTCCGCCGCTGTCATGGCTGTGGGCGTTATCATAAATGTGAATTAAACTAGTAGCCTTTTCGAGGACCGCTAGGACTGTAGGACCTAAAACAGTAAAAGTACTAGTTTTTTTTCTTTTGTGCAGCTATCTTCGACGGTGCCCTGGCATAAGTATGGAATTCCATATCTGCCGTCGTCCGTCGCATTGCCCTGGCATAGGTATGGAATTCCATATCTGCCGTCGTCCATCGCATTTTGCTTTTTGTTGTGTCCCAATTCTGCCATTTACCAGTTCCAAACCTGCCATTTTGATCCCGAAATGCATACTGCCCTCATGCGGCATGATGCTCGTCTTTGTTCGGATCCTTTGACGTAGAGGCGATCGACCTGTGGCGCATGAGAAGTAACAATAACATCAATTTTCTACATCACACATGTCATGCAATTGGGCCTACGCAGAAATCAAAACCAAGGGCAGATTCCTAGTAAATGAATCATGCAGGTAGGTGTGACGTTAAGTACGCGTCCGCCGCTGTCATGGCTGTGGGCGTTATCATAAATGTCCAGCACATCAGCATTATTTATGGGGCTAACAAGTAACGTTACTGTTAAAAAGACTTCTGTGAGCCAACCTGCAACTAAAGTCATGTCTAATTTGGAGTATACAGCAGATTTCATCATAGGTATACCTGCCCTCAAAATAATGTTGAATCAGTTCGTCTCTCATGAAAACTATTAAGGAATCAAACATTGTAAATCTAGAGTAACTAAGTTATCGAGAAAACCAATCTACCCCAACAAAAGTCTATTTTGTTAATTTATTTATGTAACCAAAATGGTATTATTTCATGTACACGTTACTTATTTGATGTCAGGATATTGTTTCTTCTTTCAATTGGAGTTTGGCGCAATTGCTAAAATGAGAGTCAGGCATGGTGGATCAATTGAATAAGGACATTGATGTGAAACGATCAAGGGTCAAAGTTAAAAATACCACTGCGCAATCGTGACAAAAAAACCACGGGCGACGCACGACGGCAGATATGGAATTCCATACATAAGCCTTATTATTGCACGGGTGATTTTGCACAATGGTAGAAAGGCAGTGTGGGAAGGAAAAAGGGACTATGTTTGCTCCTTTTTGCTTCCCACAATGCCTTTCTATAATTGTGTAAAACCAGTCAGGAACTTCGACATAGGCTAGGCCTAGCCTAGTCCCACTAGTGTGGCACGGACTCCGTCCGTGGAAATTGCCCTTATTAATACATCAATGGTCAGATGGGGTGAATGAGCCATACACGCAAAGCAGCGTTCATAGAAGGCACTTTTGCAGTGTCTCCTCTTTTTTGGTTGACCATTGTGGGGGCTAAGGATACGGAGGTATTCCAGTAGACTGGCCCCCAGTCTTGGGCTAGGCCTACACATGATACACGGTACGCCTATCAGCTTCGAGCGAGAACAAAAAAGGGCATGTTTTGAAATGAAATTGACAGTCGTTTGGCATGTTTGGTAGGCCTACCCACTCATTGCATAGGCCTAGGCATGCAAGTTTATGTGCATTTGACATGGAGCACACTGAGTATGTGCAAATATACATGTACATGTATGGTCTTTGAAATGCACACAGAATGCATGCAAGAACCCGGTTGGAAAACTTGGTACCATCTGTGTTTCTTTCGCCGGTGAGGGTGCACTTCAGCTCAGGGTGGATAGACATGTACATGGAGTAACGTGCATGATAGTTTAGTCACAAGGTCCCCAATTTCACCACCTATTGTTGAACTGGTTTTAACGGTAAGTGGCAAAATTAGGGACCTAGCGACATTAGGCCCAGTGACTTTGATGAGTTCTTGAAATACATATAGGCCTTAAGCCTATGCGGACATCACATGATGATCACTTGACGTTGTGCATAAACCTACACATACATATAGGATACATGTAGGTTACTCTATTAGCGCAGTAGTTACCACATTTCTGTATCAACGTAAGGATTGCTCGCGCACCTTCCTGAATCATTCTGTGGTTGCTGTTTAACTCCTCCTTTGTAACTTGATTCATAAGATTTGTTTGTGGTTCAATTTATCTTCATCTACGATAGCTCAGAAAATCTACGTGTGCCGTATGCAAACAGAGGTGGAGTCTCTATTGTGGTTTTGGAGACATGGTTTCTACAATGGCCTTTAGAGCACTTTGTTTATGAATATAAATAAGATAAACGGAAGGATTTCTTTTCAGACGAAACAAAATAGCCTCACTTTGTGATCATGTTCCATTTTACCTGTAATTGACTCCATTTTTTCCAGTCTCCTTAAAATGTCATACACTGAGAGAACGAGATGGGAATAATTGGCTGCACCACCTTACACTCATTAATTTGGCAGAACCTTTTTACCGCAATCTTAAAGGCAGCAACAACTTTGACAATCATCTTATTAAAATGGTGTTTGCTGAAGGAATAGTTTCTTTTTCTTTTATTGATGTCTGAAACAATCATTAAAAAAGTCTGCTTTCTGAGTTCTCATTCCCCGAGAGTCATAACCATCTCATTAGACCTGAACTATTTTATTCAAAATTATTGTTTGAAATTCTTACGAAATTTCTAACGAAACCTTACAAAACTTTTCACTCTGTTTTCATCAAACTAATTCTTAGGCCATAAGTTATTGATTACCTGGTTGCATTTTGCCACTCGGCAACTCACTGCCAAATTCAAAATCTCTGATTCCACGATAATAGAGTTATCGCGATAATATAGGAAGCAAGTAAACATGTATGGACTGGCCTGAACAGTTCTAGGCCTAAGTGTTTTCTAAGTACAATGTACATGTAAATGCTTCGATATTTTCTTTGCTAAATTCATGGAGGGTATAAAAATACAATTGACTTAATAGGACATTTTATCATACTCTGATAGCAAGTAGCCTAATACTGCAAGAGGAAATTAGTGATGCCCCATATTGTAGCCATTTTCACAAAGAGACACTTTGGCCCAAAATCATGATTTTTTTAAATGTTTGTTTTCAGGCAAAATAAGATGGGCTTTGTGATGCATACACTTGGTGTAATCATTTTTTTACCAAATCTACTGAAATCAGCCAAATTACGAAGATCTATATGGGGCAAATTTCAACTAAATCGCATTGTACGTTTTCACAAAGAGGCCAATTTATCATCCATTGATAAAGTGTTAGCAATAAAGGGCAAATTCATAGGCCAACTTGTTTTGGCATCTTCAAAAAGAGGTGAATCTGATGCCTGAAGTGTATACAAATGTACCAAGTTTGCACCTGGCACATGCTATAGCAAAAGAGCACGCATTTTCACAAAAAGATAAAAGTTTCATGAATTTTAGCATTTTCACGAATATGCAAATTTGTTTGTTTACATCATAAACAATTATTTTTGACTTCTGTAAGGATTATTTGACAGTTTTGTGTCAGGACTTTAATTAAGATCCCCTGTTTCATGCAGTAGCATTGGCTAAGTCAAAGGCATGCCTTGTCATGAACAGGTGACATTACAGAAGTCTACCTCAAGAATTGTATTATTCATCAGTGACTGCGCTGTATGAACAAGGAAGTGCAGTGGATGGCAAACCCCCAGTTCTGGGGGTAAGCAGACCTGTTGGTACATGTAGCTCTACACCCCAACTGCATGTAAGCGTGGTCCATAGTGCTGCAGTTGGGCTGGCCATTGCAGATTTTATGTAGAAGTTTTCAAGTCACTGCAAGTCTTGCCAAGTTCATGTATGAAGGAGTACCCTAAATTCGCATATGAACTATGGACCTCCGTACTGTAGTTGGGCCAGCTCAACTATACTAAGCCTATAGTTCGAATGGTATAGTAATACATGTTGTTGGGACTGAGGTTATCTACCCTGAGTTGAAGTGCACCCTCATCGGTGGAAGAAAGACAGGCTGGTACTAAGAAGTTTTCCAACTGGGTTCTTGCACACGTTCTGTATGCAGGCGAAGACCGTACATTCCGACATGAATTTGTTGCACATACTCAGTGTGTCCCAAGCCAAATGCACATAAATCTGTGCACCTGCATGGCGAGTTCGTACCGAAGGACTGTCAGTTTCATTCAAAAACACACCCTATTTTGTTCCCACTTGGAGCGGTTAGTTGGGGTATAGCATTCCAATGCATGTCATGGCATGCTTCCTCTATCATATTCATGGTCATGGCATACTCCATCATTTCTGTGTTATGTAGTAACTACTCTTAACATTACTGTGCTGTTGTAAAAAAAGTGAGTTGTAATTGTTACAGTGTAAGTTCCCTATTAGTTACAGTGCAGTATTGAATTACCATCATCATGAATAGACATCACTTGAAATCCTGTGCCCAGACTCTAACATGTACATGATCCAGTAGTATGAGATTGGCTGCTTTGATATTTTCCTTGCTAAATTTAATAATAGGACATGTTATGACTTTCTGATGGCTGATGCCTTCATGTACATGTAGGGAAAATTAGTGATGTCCATTATGGAGTTCTTCCCAAAATGAATAAGCCCCAACTATTGCAATAGCATCAGTCACAACTAAATGGTTGAGATGGTCCTTCTGTAATGTTAGACCTTTGAAAAATCCTGTTTTTCTGCCAATTTTATAGGTCTGATGTTTGGATGGTCCCAACAACAGTACTACCATTGGGAAGCTCCAGGTAAAATCAGCAAATTTCTGTAGCAACTTTTCTGGGTTTTGCAACTCATAGGCCCAGGAACCTACATGTACCTGCAGACTTCATAGTTTTGGGGATTACACTCATATTTTCACCAGTTTTACACATGTAGGGACCAGAAACACTATGGGAACAAATATTGTCTTGACAGTACACTCCCAAAGTTGCTTTCCCCTTAATACACTGCAGGCCTACACGTACGTGCACACTCACACATAGATTCTGCTACATGTAGCATGCAGAGCATAGTTGTTGGTGTAACACCATATGCCATGGCAGTCTTTGTTGTTTTCTTGCTCTAAAAAGACGTTGTGTCACAATGTCACTTTTAATTGTTTGGACATGTCGGCAAGATACGATAGTTTGTCAACATTTTGCCTTTAATAGTATCTCTGTAGGACATGAACCGTGTGTGCTACGTTTACATTTGCCATCATTGAGTAAGAAGTCCAGATCAATTCCATTGCAAGTGGTTGTTCCTGATCTAGACCAGCTACCAGAGAGTCACTGGACACCAGAAGGAAGGCTGTAGCTGAGCTGATTTACATGTATATGTACTTCAGCATTGACACCATAAGTATGCAAGGAATATGCGGACAAGTTCTGGTCATAATGTTTATGGTCAGACTCTTCCTTTGTTCATTTGCTGAAAACACTGAAGGTGATATCAAATGCAATGATCTTCAAGCAGGACAGTATCCTTTTCAGACCAAGCAGTTTAATGAGACTTTCGTAACTTAGATGTGGATTTTCCTCTTGGAATTATGGCTGTTGCTGAGAAATCAAGCT